TTCACCGCAAAACCTCGTATTGGCATAGAACACACTGAAATACCATAACAATGCCGAGGTTCAAACAAGAGAGGACCTGCAAATTACTATCAAAATTCTTAGTTTTCCCAACACTGCCTTTAAGCTTCTACACATGCGCTCTAGTTCTTGTTCCAAATGTTAAAGTTGAGGGGATATTATCTGTAAGTGAAAAGAAGAATAAAGAAGGTTTAAACTACGTAAGGCATCACAAGAATTCTGATAATATTGAAAAGGAAACCTGCAGAAGTTTCAATTCATCCGTGGGTCGCGCGGAATGTTTCCTAAAAATTCATATTATCAATGGGATGAAAAAGGAGCAATCTTTAATGGTAATGCAAAAATACAAATAGAGATTGATAACCTATTTCAAGAAAAAAACAATATTTTTTTCATGAATTTTGGAATTTATGAATCATATTGGTTTAGCATGAACTACTTAGAAATCAACACCTACCTTTCGAACTTATCCGCTTCTGAATTACGTCGATCACTGCGTCTATCAGTGCTAGGCCCAGCGTGATCGGTGTCTGTCCTGTCTTTCCGTAAACTCCTCTCTTTTGGCTTTTCTCTTCCATGCGCTTTATCTTTCACAAATTCTTTATCTTTATCTTTAGCAGCTCCGTTACGCACCATTTATTCTAAACCGCAACAATGACAATTGTTTCCAGAATGCGAACGCGATGGAAAAGTATAAATAAAGAACCAGAACGAACAAAAAAAGAGAGTAAGATAACACAGGGTTTCAAAGATTTACTTTTGCAGACTAAGACGGCAAAGATTTGATTTTCATTTTTTTTTTTTTGCCTGCGTGAGGAAGAACTGTGCAATAAAGGGGAAAAGTATCCGAAAAAATTGGCTAGAATTTACTTTGGCGTTTGAAAAAAACTTCAATATTTAGAAAGCCTGAAAAAATAAGAAAAGGATGCATCATTTTCGAATGAGCATATTCTGGGCATCTGGACAAACGAAAATCAACTTCTGTGTTAATCCTGTGAAATCTATTTAAAAAAACAAGGCGATAAGGTAATAGCGACCGAAATGACATATGAGCGAGATCTTAAACAAAGGACTACAGCCGTAGGATGGCAAGAATCCGGCTATTCCCAACTCGCACAGCAACTTAAATTGCCTGGCTGGAATGATCGATTCAACTCAATATATAATGACATTAATGGATGACATGTCATTGATCAACAGAATCGGCACGTTTCAAAAAAAGTATAACCACAGATGTAACGCTAAATAAGAGAAACAACAGATTTGATGGCTGCTAGTATCAGAACATGTTTTCCCCATATTTGAGAAATCTAAAGATACCCAATCTAATCTCTATGATACCTCAAGAATGAATTTGCAATAATTCATTCAAATGCACGTAATTACAATTTTCCATAACAAGAAATGCGTATGAAATATTAATGATAAGCCTCAGCTAGGTATCATAATTTCACCCTAAAATGATAAGGT